TCACACAAAGTAGTGGAAACTCCACAAAACAGTGCACTTCTTCCTTTCTGAAGAGTGAAATAAAGCTGCCATATTGCTTCGTGCCTGTTTCTTTTAGCAGGTCACTTAGGTGGAAAAGGCTTCTCTGTGTGTATGCCTGTACCAAAGCCATTCCAGTGCTTCCAAGGAGCTACTGGAAGTGCCAGAAGATGCATTTTCAAATGCACAATTTATGACCCAAAATTGTTTTCCAGCTAGTAGATTTGCCAGAGGAGGCAACTGAAGATAGAAGTGCAATTACATCAAATAAACAAGTTTATACTTTCTGACCTCAGTGTTAAATATGAACGTTGAGATGCTGCTGGGTCAGATAAGTAAATCATCTGAAACTGTAACCAAGCCATTTAAAAATGGTTATTTGTTCAATGATGTCAGCCAGGTTGAAAAAAACTGGAATTCTTAAAAGATAGTTTAGGCTGTGCCCATCATGCAGAATGCAACTGATTGAACGTACCTGGGCTGGCCAAGCTACATTTAGATACTGGTGCTTGTCAATACAATTTAAAGCACTGTTTTTGAGCTTTAAATCAGATTTGGGGGATATAAAGACGTGCCATTGGCTATGAAACCTGAAGCTGCCCCTTCCTGCTTCAAAGACAAACAAATAATAAACGATTGTTTTCATTTGAACCAGTCTGTGTATACTCTGGAATATTCTTTTCTCACTTGCCTGCAGTAAAAGGCATTGATTAGCTAATGCAAGATAGAAGATGTTTTAGTAGTCATGATACATTTCTGAAATGAGCTTCTAGACATCTTTGGAAATATTCAGGAAAAGTCCAAAGAGTCATTTGTTTCAATTTTTTTTCTTGGTTTTTTTGGGGGGTATGTGTGTGTGATTTTACTTGTAATTAAAGTAATTAAAGGTTAATGATTTTATGCTGGTTTGGGGGATGGTTATTTCATTGCATTGCTTCATTATGTTTACTATCTTAAACAGTGCATTCTAGAATGCTACCAGATTCTATTTTGGAAATATTCCTATTGATGTAGTAGGATCCAGTCTCCTACTCTTACACACACACACACACACACACACATATTGTATTTGTGCTGATAAATAAATAAAGGGAGACTAGTATAGATCTATTTCAAGCTATTTAGCTCTCATCAGCTAGCCATACCCTTACTGGGATTAGAACCTGTGCTGTATTGCATCTTAGGCAGATGTGTTAACCACTAAGCCACAAGGTTCTCCTCCTTATCAGCTGAGCCAGGGAAATAGGTATGTATTTAGAGTCACAACCCCTGGTATGCCCAAATATGGGAGGAAGTTTACTGCTTCCTTTCTCTGTCTGTCGGCTCATCACAAGAGATATATATATATTTCAAATTTTCACTGATAGGTGCAAGGTATATGCATTAAATTTATATAAATAAATTCCAAGAAAATGGATTTCAGTGGGAATTGAATTAGCTGTTTTAGCTTAGCTTTAGTGTAGTTTTCAGTGTTTTAATAGGTGCAAGAACACATTGCCAGTGATTTGCAATTATTACATTCTCAAAAGCAAACAAAGAAACAAACAGAAGAGAATCCAGCTGCATTCCCAAAAGACTAAACTCTTTTACTAATGAGCTCCCTTATATTCTAAAATAAATTTGTATTTGCAAAATACAGTAACTTGAAAATTACTGTAATAATCTAAATGTAGAAATATGGGGGAAATGGGACATCCTGGTGGGATTTGCTTGTCATGATATGGTTGATCAAGTTACTATCTGAATATTTTTCTGCACTTTTAAGATACGAAAAGTTGTAAGGAAGAGTTGGCTGGCAAACTGTTCATTGCAGCTTTGTCATTAAATTGTTTAGCTTCATAAAATATGAAATGAAGTGACATTAATACAATATGCATGGTCATCTTTATGAATCTTTTACAGCTAATTGAGAAGATCTCACAGCAAAAATTCTTTTTGTTATACACAACTCTGAAATTTTCCTTTTTTAAAAAAAAGGAATGAGATCCACTGATTTTTATTAAGGATTTCTTTATTTTGTTCCAATAATTAGTATATTTTAGAATTAGCTATATGTTTGAAGGCAATTATGGTAGATTTGATTCTGTGCTATGAAGTTTATTAAAATTAGTTGTGAAAATGTAATTAAAATTCATCATTACATATTTTAAATCAGTTCATTGGGAAGTTATCTTCCACTTACATTACTGTATTGTGAACATATTTTAAATTTTAGTCAGATCCATTCTGGATTAACAGTGATTCCAGTTATATGTAAAATCTAGTGGCTAAACTACAGGATTGGCAGTGTTTCACAAGTCTCAACTGTAAAAAACTTTTCTTTTTGCTATAATTCAAGAAGCAACAATATGATAGTGGTAAAATAAAATAACAGTGTAATAATAATGTAATGATAGTATATAACTAAATGTATTCTAAATATAAGCAGAGGTTTTTTTTGTAATGTACATCATCAGCACCTACTGATTTTTAAAACTCATTAAAGTCAGTTATTTTTCAATTGATTAAAACTGGTTTTTACCTAGATAGTTCTCTGTGATATTAATTCATGCAATGTAATGTTTGCACTGCAACTTTAATAGGTGGAGAAGTTGTCATTTTAGCTATAAATAGAGGTAAGTTCCAAAGGGAAAAATAATGTCCTCAGAAATTTAAGAGACAAGTTTATTAAAGGAAAATAAAGCTGGAAAACATTAAAAAATGAAATATGTAAAAAAGATTTGTATGGCATATGAACATCTGACTTTCATATATTGGTTAGATTAACACATAATGCTATACTATAAGAAGATTGGTTTGGTTGTGGCTTAGGAATTGCTCTAAGCAATGTAGTTGATAAATCCTGGTTTATAGCTGAGTTTATGTGAATCTCAAAATGTGATTTCCTTAGAGTTGAGCAAAATTACATAATATGATTGCGAATACAGTTGATGATTTTGAAGCAGCTTGATAATTCTGTAACTGAGGCCTTCTTATTAAAGCATACAAATGTATGCTTTCCATTAAGTTTTACAGAAGACAAATAAATGATAGTTCATTTGAGAGAGAGAGAGAGAGAGAGAGAGAGAGAGAGAGAGAGAGAGAACTGTGTGTCATGTAACATATTTAACTTAGATGCTATAATTATGTTTAAATAGGACATTGAAATAAAATACCATGCCATAAAAACATGCATGTTTTTAAAGAAGTAAATATCAGCTATTCAGAATTTTTAGATATAAAGTAATGCAAATAATAAATTGGGAGAACTATTATTGGGGGAGCAAGAAACATCTCTGTATCACTTCTGTTTTCTCTTTGTACCTTCTTTGGTTTTGAGGAAAGGACTTTTATGAAACTGGTACTTTGGGATATTTAACTTAAGTTCCAGAAGGTAATCTTAAAAACAATCACTGGTTCAAAAGAACACATTGAAATTAGTTAATTAATAAATACATTTATACAGTCCCCTTTGAGCTGAGGGTAAATTTAAAGAAGTTAATTAACTATTTGTTTTAACTTAAATAATTATTTTTAACTAAGTTAAAATTAGTTTTAGCAAGTTAAAGAACAGAATATTTTATGAAGGGAAGTGTTGAACAGATGCGTAGGAAACATTGCTACCCATTATTTTTATTTTCTAAGTGAAAGTAAAGGGTTCATGTAAAACCAAGACATTCTTGTAAATAAAATTATGCTAGAGGCCAGGACTTTATTTTTCAACATCCCATATTTTGAATTCAAAGAATAAAATAAATAAGTTGGGAAATTAAAAAAGGTATCTCAAGGTACAGCTTGTTCTCAATCTGTGATCTGGATCATGAAGATTAATATGTTCCCTGAATACTAACATACACCTGAGAAAAGGTGTCATTCCTTTAAGAGCCTTGAATGAATGATTCCTTTAAGAAAGCAATTTTTTAATAGGACAGAAAAACCTGGTGGGGAAAAAAAACAGGTTTCTTCAATGGATAGAAGGAAAATGTTATACTCCTGTGGAGTTTGAAGTAATTCTTAAACAGTTTTTAACCTTATATAGTCATCTTCTGTTCATATTTATTATAGAAAGTATTATATGGGATAGCATATTTTTTTCACTAGGTTTGTTTGCATGCTTAGATTTGCTTTAAAATATTACCTATTTTAAGATCAGATATGGTATAAGGTAAATAGTTGAGAATTAATATTACCCAGCAACCCTGAATTGATTTATTTTGAATCTGATTATATTAATCCAAGCTGAATAAGGACTTACGATTCTGTAACTGAGAGAAAGAGTATTTATCAAAATGATTTGATTTCTGCCTTGATTATACGTGAATAAGTTGTTTCACTTATATTTTTCTTTTTCAATATATTGCAGTATCCTATGATTGGATCAGAGAGGAGCCTAATGACAGAAATTGAACAGTATATTATATGGAATATTCAGTAAAATGATCTGAATCACGTACAGCTTTTTAGGCTTTTCTGAAAACAGCTTATCATATGTTGTATTAGTTTATCAGTACTAAAGGAAATAAAAGTAGAGGAAAACTAGGGGGAGGAAAAAGGGAATAAGACAGAGTGTGAGATAGAAGGGGGGAAGAAAAAAGGCATTGACACTGTAAACGTGTCTATGGAAAGAGTATAACTGAAAACCTGCTCTTGTTTCAGTATTCTGCAGCAACCATTGGTGTTACTCTATTTTAAAAAACAGAGATCACTGGCTTATGAAATAGAAATGGGAAAACATTTTAAAACAAACACAATAGTGATAGAATACTTTAGCCAAAACAAATGTATACTGTAATATTTCTGCCCTACGTTTTTAATCATTTTGCTGCATAGAAAAATATTCTAAATATTCTGCAATTTAATTAATATTCATCTGCTGTAAATATGAGAAAAGGATTCAATATTCAGTAGGGCTAAAGGTGCTATTCAATTAAGTTGCTTTTTTATTTCTTACTTCTGTTCCAATTTTGCATATATTTATTTAAGTTTGGTTTTCTCCCTGACAGGACTGCCTCAGATTTTTTCCCAACTCTGCGTAACAGTCATCTGGGGTTATGAAGTCAGTCCTAGATGGCCTTGCAGATACAACCTTCAGAACAATTACAACAGACCTTCTTTACATGGGTTCTAACGACATCCAGTACGAAGACTTTAAAAGTGACATGGCCTCCAAATTAGGATACTACCCACAGAAATTTCCTCTGTCTTCTTTTCGAGGTGATTTCCATCCCAAAATGACTGCAGGAGAAGACGCCTCTTTAGTTGCGCACCCATCGGATCAAATCAATATTACAGATTTTTACAACAAAACCTTGTCCCCCTTTAAGGAGAATGAGGAGAACATACAGTGTGGCGATAACTTTATGGACATGGAGTGCTTCATGATTCTGAACCCCAGTCAGCAGCTGGCCATTGCAGTCCTGTCTCTCACCCTGGGCACTTTTACTGTTCTGGAAAATCTTCTGGTTTTAATTGTCATCCTGCAGTCTCGAAGCCTTCGCTGCAGGCCTTCTTACCATTTCATTAGCAGCCTGGCAGTGGCTGATCTACTTGGCAGCGTAATCTTTGTCTACAGTTTTGTTGATTTCCATGTTTTCCATCGGAAAGACAGCCCTAATGTGTTCCTTTTCAAATTGGGTGGAGTTACAGCCTCATTCACTGCTTCAGTTGGAAGCCTTTTCCTCACGGCAATAGACAGATACATATCTATACACAGGCCCCTCTCCTACAAAAGGATTGTTACCAGGTCAAAGGCAGTTGTAGCATTTTGTGTGATGTGGACAATAGCTATTGTAATAGCCGTTCTCCCTTTGCTTGGTTGGAACTGCAAAAAGCTCAATTCTGTTTGCTCAGATATATTCCCCCTAATTGATGAAAGTTATCTGTTGTTCTGGATCGGGGTCACCACTGTACTCTTGCTTTTCATTGTTTATGCCTATATGTATATACTCTGGAAAGCTCACGGCCATGCTGTCAGGATGCTCCAGCGTGGAACTCAAAAGAGCATAATAATTCACACTTCAGGGGACGGAAAAGTGCAGCAGATCACTAGGCCAGAACAAACACGTATGGACATTAGGCTAGCCAAAACTTTAGTTCTCATTCTTGTGGTTCTGATCATCTGCTGGGGTCCCCTACTTGCTATTATGTTGTATGATGTCTTTGGGAAAATGAACAAGCTTGTCAAGACTATCTTTGCCTTCTGTAGTATGCTGTGTCTGCTGAATTCTACGGTGAATCCAATTATCTATGCTCTGAGGAGCCAGGACCTAAGACATGCTTTCAGAAGCATGTTTCCACCTTGTGCAGGGACCGCACAGCCTCTTGACAATAGTTTGGAGTCTGACTACCAGCATAGACATGCTAACAATCCAGGCAATGTCCATAAGGCTGCTGAAAAATGCATTAAAAATACAGTTAAGATTGCTAAAGTGACTATGTCAGTCTCTTCAGACACTACTGCGGAGGCATTGTAAAGCAAAGACCACGTTTGGGAGAAGACAGTGAGAGAAAGCAGGAGAAAATCATGACTTCAAAAATGTATCTTTCCTCAAATGTTACCATTTTAAATTTTACTCTTTCTAAATGATTTTTTTTTTAAATTAAGTAGTAGCCTTTTTCCCATGTTCTAGAAACAAGGACTCTGATTTTGCTTTTAGAAATTTTTAGATTTCTCAATTGGCAAAATGTAAATTGACTAATAATTGCTTAACCCTATTATTATTATGAACAAAAACATCTCATTAATCAATGAGAGAGGTCTATATGCTAAGGGAAACATATTAGATGTTGAGTTGAAACATGCACAATACTATAATCAGATCCAATGCTAATTTTATAATAGCATTTAATTTTGGTATGAAATACATTAATGGTAAGTAAGTTTTCATACCATCCTCTCCTCCAAATGCAGCAGTACTGGACTGTAAACATTTTGTATTACGTCTTGTGAAATGTACAACGTTTACTGTACGTTAATGAGATTTGTTTACTCGAAGTGATTAAGTAGATTTATGTAGATGTAATGTAAAGTATGTGATGATGTAACCTTTTCACCTTATGAAAATACTTCCTGTACTTTGAAGAATTTCTGTGAGGTATACTGAAAATTTTATGTTCTTTGTGTTTTTAGTGAACTTAAAGGGAAAGGCTTTACATTGGTTCTCTTCACATTTGAAATCCCTATGGAGCCTGGAATTCCTATGCAGGGCAATAGCAACAACAACAAACTAACAACTTTTTTCTTTGCAGAAGAAAACTATATTGCTCAAACTGCAAAAAGTAATTTTAACAGATCATTGGCTTTTTGTTGGGAACTGTTTATGATGTAAGAGCCAAGATATCAGGCATTGGCTTATTTAACTGGAAATGATTTCATCTGGCCAGTTGCTAGCAAAGGTTCTCCAAAGACAACATGTGACCAGTGTACAAAGTTATCACTGTGATATATACTTGAAATGTGTTGCATTCCTAAGTCCCTGGTTTCAATGCATTTTGAAAGCTGAGATGCCAAACTCTAATTTTTGGTCACAAATGGATAAAACGTTGCTATCGTACTTCTTAAAATATGTGGATATGTAATTACCATCTATGTATTTGTGTAAATTATGTGTGAATTCTAAATAACTGTAGGTTACATTAATATTGTTAAGATAAGAAATTGTGACCAAATGTTTTCTTACATTTGTTGTTGCATTCTTTGCACATGAATTCTGTTTTTAAAAGTGAGTTCTTCCAGCCAAATCCATAACAAAAATTCAGCATCGTATTGGAAAAAATCCATTCTGATACCTAAAGAAAAATAGTAGTAACAAAAATGGTATTAACAAGATAGTCTTGCTAAGAAGACAAAAGTGCTAATACGCTTTAAGACTGATTGGCTTGTTGTTTAGTCAGAATAACTATAAAATGATTGAAAAAGCAGACTATGAACAAATATAGAAAGCCTAAAATAGACATTTGCAAGTGTCAGAATTAAGCCACAGCAGCAGCAAAATGAGGAGAAGCCTGTTTGAAAACCTCCAAATCTTCATAATCTCTGCCAGAATTAAAAATGTAGAGATAGAAAATTAAATGCCAAAACCTTAAAAAAACAAAACAAAACATGCAAGCCTTAAATTCCTGATCACAACAAAGTAGGATTCTTCGGATCACCATGATCTACAGGTAGCTAAGATGATTTATGCTTGGAAGCAGATTTTCATGCTGTGACTCCTCTTATTGACCAGGTTATATATGTAGAAGCAGATGCTAAATGGACAGTTTCCCTTTCTGGAGTCTTTACTGGTGGTTTGAAACTATTCATAGCATCAGGAATCTAGGGGGGGGGGTGTTAAATGGAAAGACACTTAACCCATTGTTATCCACTGTCAACTTGGTAGGTGTATAAATTTAGATCCTTATAGGCAAAAGGGCATACAACTACCATATGAAAATTGGTCAAAAGTAGATAAATTGAAATCTAAATATTAGAAACCAGGAATAAATCAACAAATTTAATTTCATTGATAAGCAAAATAAAGTGCTGCGTTCAAAAGTAGCACTTAACCAGTGATACACTATACAGCAGGACCTTTTTTCTTGTGCTGTTTGCATAGAAGATTTTTATTCCAGGAATGTAGAAAAAGTATGGGTTCAATTTCATCTCCATCTATACTCCTGACATGGTTGGCATCACTGCTTAATCTTCTTCCATTCCTTCCCTCCCTCCCTTCCTTCCTTGCATACATACATATCCAATAAAATCCTTGATGTGGTTGCTGTTGTAATAGATTAAATCCTTAGGAAGGTGACCCAAAAGAATAAGTGCCCTTTTCATGAGAAAGAAAACAACAGCCTACTCTATTCATCTTCATTGTCAGGGATTTCTGCTTTTTAAAGAGCAAGATCAGTTATAAGAAATGTCTTCTCCCCCCATCTGAAAATTATAGTGACACATAGGCTGGACACATAATTTATGCTAAGAAGAAGCCATAATGTGGCTTGTTTTATTATAGTATATGAATCCAACAATTCTGGCTTGCGAATCCGGCTTCATGGCTTTGCATGTTATATGAATCTAGCCAATGAAACAAATTCAGGCTTCATAGTATGAAGATGAACCTACTTGCAAACTAGGATTTTTGATAGCTTTGAATTGTAAGGCTTCTGTTTTATTTAAGAAAAGATGCAGAAAATGGAAGAAGCATAAATTACCCTTGATGTTTTCTTGGGCTGCTCCTGTTTTCATGGCAAAGGGGACCTACCTAATGAAAGAGGCTATGATTACATTTGATAGTGCCTTATTTTTTTTTATCACACTAGTTCTATATGGCAGAATGAAAGAATCATGAAAATTAACATTAAAAATAGATCTGTTACGTCATCATAGTAATTAATGTAAGTAGTAGCAGTATATAAACTAGTTATAGTGACAGGAATTCATAGAGTTGTAATCCAATGTACCCTTAGGGAAGAGATAAGAAGAAAGCTAATATGTTGTATTTACAATATTAGTAAATTGCACCTGAATGGAGAAGAATCCAAGACTGGTGATTTAAACATGGGTTAATTCAATATCATTAATTAGCTGGGTCACTATAAGGTAAATAAGAATTCCATTCTGATGATCAACCAGCAAAAAAAGTCCCAAACGGGAAAAAAAGATATCTGTAAACAATCAATATAATTTTGGTTTATTGGTTAATATCACAATATTGTTGGGCTGAGGATGCACTGTTTGAATTTGAGAGATGCAGCAGGGTAATTAAAGGGGACTAAGCTGATGCTTGGCAATACATACATGTAATTTAGCACACAATAAATATGTCCCATATCTTCACATCTTAGGAAGGAACAAGAGTGGCAGCTTTCATATCTTACCCTGTAGTCAGAGCTGTCCAAAAATTAAACAGGAAGTACTGCAGAAGAATTTCTTCTAAATATCCATAGAGAGAGAGGAAAAAAAGAATGTTTGGTAATTGTTGGGATAAAGCAATGCTCTTTGTTCAAGAATTCAAGTCCCCATAATAGACAGTTAGTATGAGTCTGAACATACATCAAGTGGAGAGGGAACTAATTGTGTTACCTGTATGCTATAGTCATTGCTGACTAGTTAGAAACTGATGTAATTTGAAGTGAATATTTTCTACATCAATAGGAACAGTTTTCAATCTGAGGAGCAAAAAATAACCCAAGGTATAAAATATGAACATATTTCAAGAGCCATTTTTAAACTTAATTCTTGTGACTTTAATGCAAAGTTGTGTGGATTTCTGTTTTATGTATTCAAGTTGCTATCTTTTGTGATTAAAATAAACTTTGGGACAATGGGGCTGTCATGGCACTTACCATGGTGCTTATTGATAAAGAAACAACTTCCTGTGAAATACTATGTCCTCATCAATATATTTATTCCATTTAAGTAAATAAGTATTTTTCCTTTAAAAAGCTCTTTTTAAACGATGTACATTATATTAACACCATTTTGCAACTGAGCTGGCTATGAAGTCCTTACAAAACGAACGCTAAGCATAATTGTTGCTACTTTACTTAGATTAGCTGCTTTTAAACCATGCTTTAGGGCAGCTATTCTCAAAACGCTTGGGGAGGGAAACATCATTCTGCAGGGGAAACTTCGGGCTCTTATGATTCTTCTCCATAGCTAGTCATTCTGAGGAATGCTAGATTTCACACGACTCTAAATTAGGGATGTAAACATTAGTGGGACCAAGTGTCCTCGCTTTTCTTCATTTATTTCTCTTTCTCTCTGACTTGGGATGAGGAAAAATGCAAACATTGTCCATTTGCCCCAGACAATATGCTTCATATGCTTCAGTACATACGTTAACAGAGCTTCGCAAATAAGGTCCTTGATTCCAAGACTGGATATTGTTTTCATTGTGTATTTGTTAGTTGTATATGTCCTGAAAAATCCATACTCCTGTTGAGGAATCTACAGAGTAGGATGGGTGTGTGTCTCTGTATGCGTGCACGCAAGACAGTTTTCACACCTAAGGCAATATACTGTGAATGAAGAGGTTCATTGATTGCATTCAATACATTTCTTACCTACTTTTCAAGGTTGTGGTCTTTCCTGCAGTTTCTGTTGAACAAGGGCCATTAGTTCCTATTCTTGTGCAGGGACCACAAGAGCCCTAGATAGCAGTAACAGAGAGTTCTACTCTCTTCCTCAAACATATCTGAAGGAGGCAGGTGAGGCTCAGGGCAGCTGAATAAAGTTGCACTTCTAGCAGGTAGTTTGGCTAGCCCTAGGCAATGAATGGCCAACTGTTCTCAGTATGGCAATGGACTGATCACACTGTTGATCATTCAGCCACCTGGTGCTAGGCAAGCCCTTACTGTGTTGTTCCTTATGGGGTGTCTCAAAAGGCATGCCCCTTCCAATCCATCTTAATCACTAATTGCTTTCTATACATTTCGCCAGGCATCCCTGCCTAAACGGAGCATTTCCATTCCCAGATGCGCCGTATGTCTCCTCGACAGAGGCTGGAAAACCGGGAGGGGGGGAAGGGTTTGCAGTATCCTTTGATAACCTACTTACTTGTGATCCTCCAAGATAAGCCATTTAGCCAGCCATTGTCAGAAAAACAAAGCGTGTAGACCGAATAGACTCTAGTAGTCTAATCCACCAGATCAATTTTCCTGCTTTAATGCAGCATGTTTTAAGAAGGTCTGCTAGGAGAAGAACCATTACTTTGGAAAATGTTCTCCCCAAATGCTCACATTCCCTGCTAATGGCCTAGCAGCTTAACCCTCATTTCTTCATAGTTGCCCGCCTGCTCTCACAAAGCGAGTGGCTTCATGACTAAAAATTATGTGTATTAACTTTAAATGTTGTGTATATCTGTACCAGAAACCATCAGTGTTACTATGTAGAAATTAGATTGTCCTTCATGTACATTTGTATATTACTTATTCGATGCTGTGCAATCACTCTGAATTTCTTTTCCTTGCACTGATGAAAATGCCTCTTGTATAATAAATAAACTTCTTCCTGTGGTGAATGTATGTAAATAAAATTAAATAAAAACATTTAAAATGTCAGTTATACAAGCAGTGGCCTGAAAAAGGGGATATCTGTCACAGCTGAATGGAGAAATCAAGTTGCTATGACATCTGAAAAGTTCCAGGGATGCAATGGCAGAGAAAGTTTTTCCTTGTAATAGCTAAGTTGATTTTCTGTAGCTTTTTATTTTCATTGTTTCCAAGTGAAGAGCCTAAAACTTACAATGTCTGTAAATCCAACATTATAACCTCCTCCTTAAAGTACACTGTGTTGTTAGATGTTTGTTTGAGCTGGTAGCACCCCTTGCAACTGCTGCGATACGTTTCTGTTGGTGGTTTGTAAATTACTTTGTACATGAGTACTGGTAAGATTGTCATGAAAAGTAGCTTCTGCCATTAAACTACCTATAGCGGAATAGTATATAATGTTACAAATGTGTTACTACCATGCCATATTTTATTTCTCCAATGTAATTAAACTTATTTATTTGAAATCAGCTACCTGTTTATTTGAATGTGAAATGATTTTGAGTACATTTTTTCTCTTCGTACTGGGGAAATTTCAAGATTCTGAAAGGTTTTTTCGGTTCCACCACAAAACCGCGGAGTACAAAATCGCGCTCGACGAAAGCGCGCATTTGACGTCATCACAGCGCGA